TGGAGAATCTGGGCAAGTGGGACCTCGCCCTGGAAGTACACTATGCATGCACAGTGACTGTTGACAATCAGAATCACAAAAATGTAAATGGGAGTGGCAAAAATATTTGCCTGGGGAAATTTGACACTGCTTCAGTAGCCTTGTCTGAGGCAAGCTCATATTTCTAGGGGGGAAGGAGGGAAGGGGGGGGAGGGGAGGGGGGTGTTGGGGAGGCTGGGGGGGAGGCCATCTGGGGGGACAAAAATTAGAGTTTTGAATCAATTATATTGCAAAGTAGATTACTAGGTCAGCCTGGACTGGGTGGGAGGCAGGGGGTCCAGGATGCCAATGCAGGCGGGCTGGAAAGTGCCTGAGAGTCGCTGTTTCCCCTCCCCCCGCCCCCCTCTCAGTGAAAATGATCATAGCTGACATTCATGGCTCGATTATGATGCCTATCAGGGTTGAGATCCTCAATTTCACGATACTTTATGAGGCTTAAACTCTCCACATACTTGTCATAACAGAAGCTCGCTAACCAATAATCATGACATACAATCTACGATAACTTCCATAATAATCTCGCATTACCTGGGGCTGGTCACCTGTCAATATATCTCAAGACTGCTGCCCTTTTGAAAAAAAAAAAAAAAAAGAAAACGGGAAAGAAGGGAGGATAAAGAGGAAAGAAGTGGAAAGGAATATGAATGGGGTTTAGACTCGAGAAGTGGAAAGGAATATGAATGGGTTTAGATTCTAGAGGGGTTTGAGTTGGTGTATCTTGACTTCTTTTCATATTTAATTTTTCATCTTAAAAAAAAAAAAGACAATTTTTATTATACAAGCCGGGAAACGAGCCTGGCGTCCCTTGACGATTGTAGCCATGTCCCCCTAGCACGGAGGGCATCACCGTTTTTTATATTTTATCCAATTCCCAGCATATAAAGAATTGCTTTTTGGTGAATTAAACTCAATTTTTTTGTTTTCATCCTTTTTTTTTTGGTGCTGGGACTCTCCAGGACCTTGCCCCTGCCTGCCCAGGAATCAGTGGTTGTGCCCCGGCCCGTTTTGTGAATCTTTCAAGAAGTAAAAATGCATTGGAAGTTTGCAAGCCCTGAGCGGTTACCCCCAAGCATGTATTTAAACCTTCCTTTTTTCTTTTTCAATGAACGAAAACATAATGGGGGGGGCCTACAATCGCAGGGATGGTAAGAGCATCTCGCCCGGATTGAGGTCCTCTCATATGCAAGGAAGATGAGCGATAGCGAACTTCAGCAATCAAACAGCATCATACACAAAAGACCAGATAGTCGTGACCTCGAACCAACAGCAGAATTGCATCACGAGTTTCACCAAATAAGAACACACCAAGAGCTCATAATTGACAATGCTGAAATAGTCTCATCATCATCATCAACGAAGAACCAATGTTGATATCCTATCTGGCGCTCGGCGCCCAGACTACAGATGGCAGATCCTATCTAGCCTGATCTACAATGCCGCCGGATGACGTCAACAGCTTCACCGAAGTACGAGCAGATCTCGGACAATGCCGTTGCTTCTAGCACCAGGTATGTCTCTCGTATCACTCTCAACCTCGTTCCCCAACACGCAGATGCCACATGCACCCAAGGACCACCCTGCGCCACACCCAGCTCACAGCAGCGCAGCTCGGCTATGGCTGCCTGCTCCTTCCTGCTCGCCCGTGAGCGCGTGAGCGCTGGCCAGCTTTAGCACAGCAGCGCTTGCGCAGCATGCAGCCAGCACCTGAATGCCCAATGCGGAGGAAGGCCCTGTGCTATATGGAAGTGGCCTGCCTGCGTTCTGTTCCAGGCTGCACTGGGCCTTTCCCAAGAAGCTTCCGGTAGGCCCCGGTAGGCTGAAGCGCAGAGCAAACGAATTGGCCCAGGGCTGTCGACAGTTACCTGTGCCCAACTGCCCACAATCTGAGTTGGGCCTATGTTGCGAATCTCGCCCAGGGCCTGACTCAGATGCATTTGATAAAGGAAGCCAGGGCCTGGGCGCTTCCAACCAACTGGCGCAGCGCAACTGCCTGAATTTCCCCAGTTGCGAAGTAGTCCAAAATAGGCCTCTGAGGGTATGTCGGGCCTCCCTTCACTTAGGGCGGCCGACGCTGTTGCAAATAAGGCCCAGTAGGGCTTATCGAGGCCTTGTGCCTCGCACATATTGATAGTTCCAAACTATTACGCACATATTGATAGTTCCAAACTATTAGTGGGGAGCTTCACCTGCTACTTAAACCAAGAGTCTTCCTGAACCTATGTTATCGAACCTGCAGAGCACCCAACCCTTCGGAAATCCACAATGTTTGGTATCAGCAGCAGGAGCTCAATGTTTTATCCTGGGATGGGCTCTTGCCACTGTGATAGGCGTTCTACCTGTCTTCACCTGAATATAACGCCCGGTTGTTATCGCTGTATCTCGACAGAAGATTGTGCACGGGCGTTCTATTCGGGTGAAGATGGTAGTGATGGTTGGTGGCTGTTAAAGTTTTTGTTCCACGATCACACTGGACCTCCCTGGGCTGCCACTGCACCCACCTGCGGCCCCGCGCCCCCCCCTCACCTTCTGTACGTGCAAAACCCCTGAAGTTTGTTTCATGAAGAGTGAGTGGCGGTTTGTTTCATGAAGAGTGAGTGGCAGTTTAAACAAGCGGTACCCTCTTTCTGCTGCTCCCCCTGCATGCCAGAAAAAAGAAAGCCAGCATGGGTGTGTTTTCCTTTTTTCTGCCTGGCACTGCCAGCCATTGAGGCCCAGAAGCACTATTCACCGAAAATCGGGATTGTATACACATCGTTAGAAACCTTTGCCTGTGAAAGACACTGGTGGTTTATACCGCCAGTACTTCTGAGGGCCTAGTTGCACCACTCTTTATCCGCCAACATTTTGAATGCATCTGGACACGACTCTGTCCGGATGCCTTCAAAATCTTGGCAGATGGCGAGGGTCAACTAGGCCCTGAGCCTCTTGTTCCCGCGGTGGATATGTGCTGCTTGCCAAAAAAAAACGAACTAGGACGACTCTATTTTTTTCTTTTTTAGCTGGTGCTGCCAGCCGAAAAGCTCCAGTAGGTGGAGCCCCAGAAGTCATGGTGCACGTACAGCCGCATCGGGAAAAAATGGCTGGCCGAAGTACTGGTGGTGGTTTCAACCACCAGTTCACATTCACCGAAGTAGTGCTCTTACCTGTGTACTCGGTCAGAGCATTCCAATTTGGGCCTGGGCCGGTAGCGAAAGCGGCAGGCACTTTGGAAAGGCCCAGTTGCAGGCTCACGAGCCTTGGAAGGTAGCTTCGTCAACTTTTGTTTTGTTTTGTTTTTTGGTAGTGTAATGACCCGTCGAAACACAGACTGAGAACACTGCTGATTTCTGAAGTTCTGCCGATGGAATGGATGCTTTGCTGAGATTCCCGCATTCTGCTGTGTTTTCTAAGTCTGTCTGTGTGTGCGTGCTTGTGACCTGCATGCCTGTCTGAGTGCTTGTTGGTGTGAGTGTGTGTGGGACCCGCAAGGGTACTTGCTTGTTTGGTAGGCCCGTAGGGCCGGCACTTACCTGTGGCCGTGGCATTGAGGGTTGTAGCGGAAAAAGCACTCAAGTGGCGAAGCTAGCGGCCCTGAGGCCCTTGGGGTAGCGGAAAAACACTCAAGTAGGCCGGTAGGCCGATACTGCACCCCACTGCAGTTGGCGTGAGGGGTACTGGAGGCCGAGCAGAAAAAGACAAAGTTGGCATTTTTAGAGTCCAGTAGCGGTAGGGTAGGTCTAGGCCAGTACCAGTCCAACCAGTCTGAGTCTGGAGCCTGTACGGGCAATATCAGAGTCTGCAATGATGTTTCCCTCTGAAAGGAGGGAGGTACCGGTTGCTTGGGAGGCCGAGCGGCCTGGAAGTCACCGTCCAAGAGGCAAGCAGGCCGCTATATCTAGAGGCGGAGGCAAGAGCTCCGCCTCATTCTTCAGTGTGCGAGTTGGGCGTCACGCTGCTGGAGCGCTAGGTGGAGGAGCGCTGGGCTCTACAGCGCTGCTGGGAGGAAGAAGCCGGGAGCTTCCACCTTGGCTATGGTGGAGCTCAGCCGGTAGGAGGAGGAGGGAGAAGGGGACCAAGGAGGAGAGTGGTAGGGTACTTACCTGGCTATGGTAGACACCATCTTCATCTCCTTGCTAGGCGCTGCATCAGGAAGGCCCCAGTGGGGGTAGTGCCGCATCAAGGAAGCTCGGACAGAGTCAGGCATGGCGTTTGAGTGGGCAGCGGTATAGCTGCTGGGTGATGACCTTGAAGGAAGGCAGCGGTGTAGCTGCTTGGGGTGATCCTTTGTACTGGAGGTTGAAACCTCAGTAGTCCGCCATAGCCTCGGCCTGTATGTGGAGGAAGAAGAAGGGCTGCCATGGCTATGGTGGACCTCATCTTGTGCCTGCAGTAGAAGTGGGATTCGGACATTGATTCTGGTTCAGCTGTTCAACATTATTATTGTTTATTTATTGTTTGAATAAGAGAGGAGGAGATAAAGAGGAGGAGGTTGTTGAGCGAAGAAGGAGAGCTTTGTCTTTGGTCTATGCTGGAGGACATCAACTCTTTCTTCTTTCTTAATTCTTCTTCTTCTTCTTTCCCTCTCTCTTCTCTCAAGTTCTTTCATTTCTTTTGCAATTGGACGGCATTGGTCTCAAGTTCATTCATTTCTTTTCGCAATTGGACAACATTGTACTTTCTGATGATTGTGGACTTCAAAATTGGCCAGGATCGTAACAGTAGGGAGCTGCACCTGCTGGAAATCGGGTCCAGACTCCATTATCCCATTTGACACAAGACATGACATGACATGAGCTTCGTCAACTTAAGGTCCTGCGAACTGGTGGTTTAACAGGATTGAGGATGGTGGAATCAAATAGGGAAGAAAGCATTTGGGCAATAGATTAGCTTGGCAAATGGCTGAGTGCGCACCCTCATCTGCTAACGTTGATTGCTGGTTTGGTTGTTTCTGTTTTCTGAATTTTCTTTTCCCTTGTGGTTAGTCAATCGACAGAGTTATCCAGTCTCATTCAGCCACTTCCATTACAGGATGATATCACAGACTTGCTTCCGATATCTCCAGTGGACACTACAGCAAAGGGTAATGGGTAAGATGGATCCTATTCTGCTCAACCCTACAGTACATAGCAGAGTGAAGTTGTCCTTAGTCCCCTTTCTTTTGTGCTGCCGATCTTGTTTGTTGCGTACTCAGAACAGTGATGTTGTTCCTTAGTCCCCTTTTTTTTTTCTTTGCCCATCTTGTTTATTGCTTATGCAACAGTGATGTTGTCCTCAGGCCCCTATTTTCTGTTTTTCCCTTCTTGTTTATTTTGCTTCTTTCCCTTCTTTTCATGCTTTCTTTGTTCCCATACCAAGCTCAGCACACTTCAACTTTGAGTACAAATGGAACCAAATGCAGGCAGGCCAGGACAATGAAACCATGCTTGCAAGGTCCCCGAACTTTTTAGAGGGGCTCCGGAACAGGTGGTTTAAGGTTGGGGCTGGAGTCTCGGCGAAGTGTAGAGTACCTGCTCCGCACTGCGGTAGTTAAATCCACTAGGGCTTTGTCGCAGCCAGTGTTCAGCCACAGGTAAAACCAGATAAATGATAAAGTGTCAGCAAAGTGTACCGTACTTCGATGTTCTCGTGACAGATTCATTCCCATTTTGCTCATCCTATGGATGGAAAACTCTCTCTCTCTCTCTCTCTCTCTCTCTCTCTCTCTCTCTCTCTCTCTCTCTCTCTCTCTCTCTCTCTCTGTGTCTGTCTGTCTGTCTGTGTGTGCGACATTTGCATCTGACAACTCCTTAGTCCATACTGACACGGGGATTCTTGTCAATGTATCTTCTGTCCGCAGCTATGGGCATAGTGACTTCTGGGACCTTTTGGGACATACTCACGCTGGGACTTTGGGCAACTTAGGGCACACTCACACTCTGACTATCCTTACGATATACTGACACTGAGACCCTCTGGGACATACTCACACTGGGACTTTGGGCAACTTAGGGTGCACTAACACTCTAACTATCCTTACAGCACACTGACACTGGCACCTTTTGGGACAAACGCTGGAACTTCGGGCCACTTGGGACACAACCAACTTTTCTTGGAGTGTAATTGACTAAAACTCTCTCTCTCTCTCTCTCTCTCTCTCTCTCTCTCTCTCTC